GCTGATAGTTCACAGTTATTACTAGTTAAAGATTTAAATCAGTAGTGGCCTATTCAAGTTCAAAGTAAGTGAAGACTGATACTATAAGTAGTTTGAAGATCAATCATCTTCAACTTCAGAATGACTTACCGTAACATTTATAGTCTAATCTCAATAGAAATACGACAGTGAGAGTGTGACTTTAAAACATATCAGAAAGACAAAGTAAGTTAGATATAGGACATGAAACGATAAAATAATACTGTTCAATCTATACAAAAAAATTTCGTGTTGACGTCATTTATTTGATACTCACTTCACATAATTTCAGCAGCATCATAGATGAACAAGGAGGATTCAATGCAGATATATAGTCAAGGATTGGCAAAGTAAAGGCAGCATTCATACAGTTGAGGAACACATGAAACTCAAAACAACTGTCAATCAACATCAAGGTCAGAATCTTTAGTACGAACGTCAACGCCGTCAGTTGTATTGTACAGAAGTGAAACTTGGAGAACTACTACAACTATCATCAAAAACGTACAAGTATTTATAAACAATTGTCTATACAAGATACTCAGTGTCCGTTACCTGGATACCATCAGTAATAGCCTATTGTTGGAGAGAACAAACCAGCTTCCAATTGAAGAGGAAATTAGGGACAGATACTGGAGGTGAATAGGATATATGTTGAGTAAGTCATCAAACTGGATTACGAGACTCGCGCTAACATGGAACCCTGAAGGGAAAAGGAAAAGAGGAAGACTAAGGAACATATTGGTTCGAGGATCAAAAGCAGGTATGAAAAGGATGAATAGTAACTGGAAGCAATTAGAAAGGACTACCAAGAACAGAGTTGAATGGAGAATGCTAGTGGGTGGCGTATGCTTTTGCATGAAAGGGTAACAGGCGTAAGTAATTAAAAGGAACTATAGTGAACTTTTTGCATATTTGATAGAAAATAAGACACTAATGTTACTATCTACTCTTGAATTACATAAAAGACCTGAAATTAAATTAGAGCTCAGTTTTCAAATATTGTGATACCCAGGTGTTCCATTACGAAAAATGTTCGAATCAATCCTATGATACATTAATTAATTCATTAAAAGACATTAAACATTTTTCACTTGGTGAGTTTCATAGATGAGATTCTAATCTATGTTACAATACCAAACATATGGTTGTCATGATTATCAGTAATGCATATCGATGTATGTATTACAAACTATTAGTAAAACTGCAGCACATAGTAGCTTCAGTTACTAGGGTGAGGAATGGTTTGTACTTATTATTGCTTCACACACAATATTTGAAGATAAGATATTCAACGTTCTAATTCTTGTTTAATCTCTCTAGAAAACTATTGAGATTTTATCCTATTTAATACAATCCTCTGTTTCTTTTACTAGCTGACGAGTCCCAAATAGGACGAAACGCTCTTCCTAGATCCCACTGATAGCCACCATCCATCTTTGCTTAAAAAGCTTGTGACTTGAGGCAATACCAAGGGAATCCGCACAGGATGCACATATGCCAACACGATACTGTTCAATTGCAGTGCTAAACATCAATGGGAATATTCAAGTAAACAATACCAAGTGAATTTAAGAAATATAATATTTAAATAATGTTTCTACATCAGATATACAGTATTTTTACATATTTAGCATTTTCAACATTCTCCCATCGTAGTAAGGGTATAAATCTAAAATACGTTAGTGAACAATTCTGACCTCTAATTTGTATATTAAGATTGATTCTGATATTTTGAAAGCTTTTTTAAACACAAACAGTTATCATTTCTTCTCTCACATTTATAATCAAGTTCAAAAACCCTACATCTCACACTGAGTAACTTTCCATTCTATCATGTTAATCTTTAAAACTGTTTACAATTTAAGAATCAATGAGATAGTCAATTTATCACTGATTTGTACTTGCAAACCACATTGATTAGAGTAATTACCTGTTATATTCAAGTAATAGGTAAGGAAATGTATATCGTAGATGAAAAATACGTGTTTTCAGAAATTAGTGAATAAATAGTAAGGAGAATATCGGGAAAGACACTGGGTAACTAAAATGTACTTATTTGTCAATAATTTATTATCAGGATGGGGATTTGTGAAGACCGAGGATCCTAAGCTTGTGTCTCGCGTGAGGGATTATGGATGCACACTGCTGAAGAGTCCTGTACTGGGATGAGACGGTCGTCCAGTGCTTCCAGGTTCTCAATAGTGATCTAGATAGCTTAGACTGACTCATGAATTCAACTTTGAAAATAACTTATTAGTTTATTGGATATTTATTCATCATAGATTGAATAATAATAATACAATTAGGACATAGTGTGTAGAAATACATGAAATTATTTTAAGATTTTCATCCTGTACTTTTAGTCTGACTAAATTTGTAAACAGTCATTGTTTCAGTGAGTGGATGAGGAGGAACAATTGAAATATACATCTTTTGATGACGCCTGTATTTCTGCTAAACAACACAGTACAAACCCGATAAGGTTCTGACTTTAATCAACGTTAAATGTGTCAATTCAGATGAATACGGTGATTGAGTTTACCAAAAAGTAGTGAGATTTCTATTGAAAATTTCCTGAGACAAAACAAAAAATCTACATCTTAAAGGTCGACGTGACAATTCATCTTCCACTTCATTTCAGGTATCATATCGACATGCTGAAAGATTCCCAAAAAAGAAGTCACTGAAGGTATGGATGAGAAAGTTATTAAATATCAAACAGGTCATTTAGCAGATTGAGAATATTTATTACGGAAACAGTACTTTTATTAATTTTCTTGCCATCCTTAAGTAATATCAGTCCTTTCACCTATACTAAACAAATTTAAGAAGAGATGAACAAATTGAATACGATAACCTTTTATTTCTTTTTATACCGTATATTCATGCCTAATTAAGAGAAATAAACCCGGAGCCCTTCTATGGTCATTGCCTATCTCAAGCTTGGATAAAGGAGGAGAGTCGGGCACCTCAATCCGTAGAAAATAAACTTGATAAAATAACACCAAATTATTCTTAAGTAACCGTAATATACTAGTAAAATTCACAAACTGAATATATATAGCATATTAATGAAAAAGTATGACAGAGATCGGCTCAATTTGTAAGTGGTTTACATCACAAACTGACTTGATTTTGGGGTTCCAACGAGAACTGGCGGGGGACTGAATAACTGCTTTGTTCTAGCAATGAACAACCATGGTACGGATAAGGGTTAAATCTAAGAAATTCGGATCATGAACGGACTGCTCACAAGTTCTGTTCTGTTTAGTGACCCTGATTTTCAGTGAAATCTAACTGAATTCAATCTATGACAAATTCCATTTCCAAATGTGATATACTGTTTACACCTTAGTTTGTTAATAGTTCACAAGCTTCCAAAGTTACGGCTAGATACCTATAGAACGAAGTTTATGGAATGTTATTGGATTGAGAAATTTTCTACTGTATACTCTCCAAGAATTTATGATGTCTTTCAGTTATTAGACTTGTAGCGGTAAATAAATCCCCAAAATAAATAGCACTAAGTTTTCGGCATTGGATGCTGACCATATGTTTTAGTGGACTCATCTAGCTGAAGGCGCTCGGTCAGGCATCTACACCAGATCACGTGTGCTAACGCCGTGCTCAACATCAACCGCAATCGCTAGCCAGATTAGATCAGAGAATTCCGATATATTGGTCATCGCCAAATATACTCTTCCGATCTCCTCGACTCTGTCTTTTGATTTCTCTGGGCGGGAACGAAATATATTAGAAGGTGTTACTGGTAGAAGCGTTGTCAAGCACTTAATACCTGTGACATCATCATTGGTGAAACCGACGTGATCTGGTACACCTAATTGCAACTGTGAGTCTGTTCCTTTTTGGGATTTTTATATATCATTGCCTTATTTTTTTATTTTTTTAAACATTGTGATTTTTTTTCGTGTTTTTTCCTGGATATATATATTTTCCCCTCGTTCATTATCGTACTTCATACTTCATCATGACTGAACAGACACCTAAAGTACTCAAGCTTAAGACTTTGTCCCCGCCTTCGTTTCAACTGATGCCTTTCTGGCCCGACAACATCGAAGCCTGGTTTTGCTACGCTGAAGCCGACTTCTCCGAGCACGGCGTGATCGACACACGTGCACAATTCCTCGCAGTAGTCAAGGCACTACCGCGCGAATTCAACAGGTACGTAACACCTAGTATGTTTACTAGTGATGTTTCCGATCCTTACGAAATCTTAAAACGCTCGATTCTTAAACGAGGAGACCTAACCGATCGACAAAGGTTAGATCAACTCTTCAACAATATCGACCTGCAACATGGTTCTGCAACGGACATGTTGCAACGGATGAGAGAGGTAATAGGCCCAAGAACTTTCGACGAAGGCCTATTCAAACAACTCTTCTTGTCAAAACTTCCCCAACAGGTGCAAGCAGTTCTGGTCTCGTTCCAGAACAATGCCTTAGACGAGCTAGCTGCATCTGCCGACCGCATTTTAGAAATTACGAAATCTACTACCGAGGTATTTTCAGTCAAAGAAAAACCTCAAACGACCCAGAATGATATAAACGACTTATGTCACACACTCACGCGTTATCTTAGTCTTCGTAACGACCGTAAGAGATCGCGCACACCACGTAGAAGCATTTCTCGTAAGCGATCTGTCTCTAGACCACGAGAGACAGATAACCCCGACTGGTGCTGGTATCATAACCAGTATGGAAAGCTTTCCAGAAATTGCAGAAAACCCTGCAATTTTCCCAACACGAAACCGACTGATTCGAAAAACAATTCGGGAAACTTCCAAGCCGGCACGCGTTAACGGCAACCGTAGCCGGCGAACAAAGCCGTCTGTTATTCGTCACAGATGTGACAACGAGAGTTCGCTACCTCGTTGACACTGGCGCAGAAGTTAGCGTTCTCCCAGCAAATCCTAACGACCGACTACACGAATCGACCCTAAACTTACAGGCGGCAAACGGAAAACCGATCGCTACGTATGGCAAAAGGTACGTTTACCTTAACGTGGGTTTACGCAAACCCATCCACTGGATTTTCGTTGTTGCAGATGTTTCTATGCCAATCATTGGTATGGATCTTCTACAACACCACAATCTGATCATCGACACGCGCAAATGGAGGCTAGTTGACGGAACACTAATTTGTCCGTTTGCGTAACTTCTTTTACTGGTTGTAGAGTATCCCCAGTCACAGTTAAACATATGATAGACCCACTCTATCAACCACTACTCGATAAGTACCCTGAGATACAACAAACTCAAACGAAACTACCGTGTGTAACCAGCAATGTTACACATCACATCACGACTACAGGACCACCTGTATTTTCTAAAGCACGCCGACTAGCTCCTGAAAAGCTAAGGTTAGCGAAAAACGAATTCGATCACATGATGGACTTAGGAATCATACGACCGTCAAGTAGCCCATATGCATCTCCGTTGCACATGGTCCCTAAAAAGGACGGCAACGATTGGCGTCCAACTGGTGACTATCGGCGATTGAACGCGAAAACCATTCCCGATCGTTACCCGTTGCCTCACATTCACGATTTGACAGCTACCTTGAAAGGTACAACTGTCTTTTCGAAAATCGACTTGGTTAAAGCGTATAACCAAATCCCTATGGCTACTGACGACATACCGAAAACGGCTATCATAACTCCCTTCGGACTTTATGAATTTTTGCGAATGCCTTTCGGTCTAAGGAATGCTGCTCAAACATTCCAAAGATTCATAGACGACGTTTTTCGAGGTCTCAACTTCGTACACGCGTATGTTGATGACTGTCTAATCGCAAGTCCGGACAGAGAAACACATCTCAAGCATCTGGATCTTGTTTTCGAACGACTTCAAAAACATGGCATAACTGTAAACGTTCAGAAATGCCAATTCGGAACCGACTCGTTAGACTTCCTAGGACACACTATCGATGCTCAAGGCATTCGACCTCTTAGGACCAAAGTGGCGGCCATTCTGGATTACCCAGAACCGACCACCGTCAAGCAATTGCGCACGTTTAACGGCCTGGTAAGTTTCTATAGACGTTTCATACCCAAATGCGCATTACTTATGAAACCTCTGACCGACCAACTTCGTGGAAATGCGAAATCCATTAATTTGGACGACACCGCACGAAAAGCATTCTCCACAGTTAAGGAACTGATTGCTAAAGCAACAATGCTTGCACATCAGGACACCCGAGCACCCATTAGCATCGCAGTAGACGCATCCGACTCAGCAATCGGAGGAGTCTTACAACAATGGGTTAACAACTCCTGGCAACCCTTGGCATTTTTCTCTAGAAGGTTGCTAGACACCGAATCGAGGTACAGCACATTCGGTAGGGAACTCCTAGCTATGTATTGTGCTGTACGGCATTTCCAACACTACATCGAAGGTCGTGAATTCACTCTTTTCACGGACCATAAACCGCTCACTTTCTCGTTAAGCTCTCCTTCTGACAAGTACTCTCCCCGTGAGTCTCGACAACTGGACTACATTTCGCAGTTTACTTCAGATATTCAACACGTCTCTGGAGCAAACAATGTAGTTGCAGACGCTTTATCTCGTATAACTTCCTTGAACAGTTTCCAAGGAATCGACCTTCTTAAACTCGCCGAGCTTCAAAAAGAAGACACCGATCTTCAGCACGAGTTATCGTCCACAACACTTAAACTACGCATCAAACAGATGGGAACAGGTAAGGAAACCTTACTTTGTGACACATCTACAGGTAGGGATCGCCCAATCGTGCCGAAACATTATCGACGCAATGTCTTCAACACATTGCACAAACTTTCGCATCCAGGTGTTCGTGCAACCATCAAGCTCATAGCAGAAAGGTTTTGCTGGCCTGGAATGAATAAAGACGTGAGGGAGTGGGCACGCTCCTGTGTAAGCTGCCAAAAATCTAAGGTTATAAGACACAATAAATGTCCCTTAGGCTCGTTTAAAACTCCCGATGCTCGTTTCGACCATGTTCATTTGGATTTGGTAGGACCTTTACCAGATTCAAATGGATACTCTTATCTCTTAACCTGCGTTGACCGTTTCACTCGATGGCCAGAAGCAGTACCTATCAAGGACATCACTGCTGAAACAGTGGCCCGCACCTTCGTCGAACGATGGGTAGCAAACTTCGGCTGCCCTTCAACCATCACTACAGACCGCGGACGTCAGTTTGAATCTGATCTTTTCCGTCGTCTGACCACTCTTTTAGGAAGCACTCGCTTCCGAACGACCGCCTACCATCCACAAGCAAACGGGTTGGTAGAACGTTTTCACCGACAACTGAAAGCTTCGCTATCAGCTGCAAACGTTTCACAGTGGACCGACGCTCTCCCACTCGTCTTACTAGGTATCCGCAATGCAGTGAAAGCTGACATTGGATACACTGCGTCTCAACTCGTTTATGGTACGACACTTCGACTTCCAGGAGAATTCGTGGATCCTTCATCCTCTTCAATGAACATGGATCTAACCTCCTACACGAACAGGCTTACAAACGCAATGCGTTCAGTTAAACCTGCTTCCACTCGACCTCAATCAACTGATGTTTTCGTTCAACCTGACTTACGACATAGTACACACGTTTTCGTTCGTCGAGACTCGCATCGACGACCATTCGAATCCGCATACGAAGGACCCTTCAAAGTTCTTCAACGTGAACCTAAGTACTATATAGTCGATAAGAACGGAACCAACGATAGCATCAGTATCGATCGCTTAAAAGCAGCGTATTTAGAAGGAAATCCTATCTACGTGGATTTTCCTTCGGTACAATCGAACGACACGACTCCGACACTTATAATACCTCATTCGACAACCAACACACACGACGATACTTCGACAGTATCCGAAAATAAACTTAAAACGACGCGTTCTGGAAGAAGAGTGAGATTTCCAGAACATTTAAACGACTATTGCACGTAAGGCACTTCTAGAAATTTTATATTTTTTTTTTTAAAAAAAAAACAATTTTAACATGCTTATGTATTTTTATTTCTATTTAAAAAAAAATAAAACAAAAAAAACAATTTTTTTAACGCTATTACGTGTTCATGAGTTTATTTTCCATTTTTTTCCGCCGACATTGTGCTTTTACGCACATACGAGTGTATTTCGACTTGCACTTACATTTTCTTTTTTCTTTTCCAGGACGGCTGGAAAAGAACGATGACGTTTATGAGGATCCGAAATTTTCATTGTACATTTTCTTTCTTTACTATGTTGTACCTCCGTCTCATATAGTAAGGAAAGACGACCAGACGCTGCTAAATTTAGTAAGCTATCAGAAGAGTGTTTACCAACGACAAACTCGTTGGGTTTAAACTTCTGGCTGGCCACGTCTTAGGGTCGTCACTGCCCCACTAGGGGGGGAGTGATCTGTAGCGGTAAATAAATCCCCAAAATAAATAGCACTAAGTTTTCGGCATTGGATGCTGACCATATGTTTTAGTGGACTCATCTAGCTGAAGGCGCTCGGTCAGGCATCTACACCAGATCACGTGTGCTAACGCCGTGCTCAACATCAACCGCAATCGCTAGCCAGATTAGATCAGAGAATTCCGATATATTGGTCATCGCCAAATATACTCTTCCGATCTCCTCGACTCTGTCTTTTGATTTCTCTGGGCGGGAACGAAATATATTAGAAGGTGTTACTGGTAGAAGCGTTGTCAAGCACTGAATACCTGTGACATCATCAGACTCTACAACTCTCATTTAATTCATTGATGTAATCATTATTTTACAACACCTGAAAGGACATCTCTATATGAATGAAAATCAGGTTTGTAAATGATGATAACTTTATTTCTATTCTTATATAAGAAAGATACTTTTCTATCAGTTTTAAATAGAAAAGTTCAAAAGATGATGTACCTATAATGATTAACATGAATAATTGATCTTTCAATAATGATTATTCACACTTTAACTATTTATGCATGATTGGTTGTTTTATTCAATAGTACAGGATGATATGAATTTCTTTTTCTTCTTTTTCTTTTGTATTTATAGTTCAGTTAAAATATTTTTCTTTGACCTAGAAAACAATAGAATAAAGTAAATTACATTATTTTCTCTAAATTTATTGTAACATCTAAAAGATGTTTAAATATGTGTACTGATTAGGTTATTTTTCTTTTCTTTTCTTTCTTTTTTCTCTTTTTTTTGGTTGGTTCAGCTATTGATCTTTATAATGAATCATTGACTAATGACGATTGATCGTCTTTTGTATGGATTCATGTAATTTTAAAGAAAAGGTGTAAAGAGGAAAAGGAAGAAGATTCAAGGATATGTAACATTTTTTTAAAAAAAAATAATAACCTTTTTAATCTTTTGTTCAGTATACCTTGATTTTTAGTAGGTTCTAACTGAATCCAATCTATGAGAAATTCCATTACAAAATGTGAGATACCATTCACAGCTTAGTTTGTTGGTTTTTAAAAATATGAAGGGGTTTTTGTGGAGATTTTTAATAATTTTATGTTTAATATATATACTTAATATTTTTCTTTAAACTCTTTCTTGCATTTATCACACCATTAGGTTTTATTCCAACTATCTTATTTTATCAACTGAGCTCTACTCATTTTATTCCTATCAAGGTTTATTTGTTTCTAACCGTTTGAACTGTTGTCACAATGTTCTTTCATCACATAAGGTATATATTTACAATATTCAGTCTAGTAAATTTATTTACACCCTTGCTATACTATACGAATATGTCTTTAATATAACTTCCAATCAAACTCTTTTATGTAAGTAATTTTAACCCATTATGTAATTATGATGTTTGAATATCACAGGTTGTACGCAGCTGACGAGAACCAACGAAATAAAAATGAATTCATGTTATTCTGCTAGAATGTTTGTTCTTGCTCTTTTCAAAATGATAAAGGGAACTATATGTATGAAACAATTTTATAGTTGAATTTATGAGTCAATTGAAGCTAGAACACCATGGAAAACTTGGAAGCACTGGAAGGCCATTTCATCCTATTGTGGGACTCCTTGGTAGTGCGCATCCACGATCCCCGCCTCATGAGATTCGAACCTAGGACCTACCAGTCTCGCGCGCGCGAACACTTAACCATTAGACCATTGAGTCAGCATCCAACGGTGTTAATGTCTAACTTTAACTAACCCATGATATTGAGCGACACATCCATCATTGTCTTCAGTAAGTTACTATCTCACAACAGACCCGGTTGAACTCCACTGGTCACTGCTTCTCACTAGAACTTCAGGAAATACGTCTTGGAGACAGTCACCATTGAGTATATATTGATTAATATCAGAAGGGGTTTTTGTGGATATTATAGTAATTTTAACATTTACCTTTGAACATATTATTATTGAATTCTTTTTAATTAATACATAAAACATTTATTTAAACAAGATGATCAAAACAGTTTCAAGTGTCAAGATGAATCTTTTTTTAAATTTTATTTTGTTGAATTATGAAAATTTATTATTGTCATGTCTAGAAAGTTCCAATTAAAATAGTTGAGGTTTCATTTTGAAATTCTCGTCTATTTTTCTATTATTTTTAATCCACTTTATATAAATTAAATTACCTTCATTTATTACAAATACATTTAATGTAGGTTTACAAACTAGTTTAATTATGTTAGTCATATGTGAATGTGTGTTCATTGTATGTATATTCACTCATAAGAATAGTTTACTGAAAGGTCAGTTTATTTGAAATGATATACTGGAATATATATTGTATTGTGCCTTATTAAGAATAACAATAGTGATACCAATATTTTTCCAAAGGAAGTTAAAAAGAATGACAGTTTAATTCACCATGATTAATAATTCTATTCAGCATGAATATACACGTAGACATAACTTTTTATATCCTTATTCAAATCGAACTTTTGTGATAAAATTCATATTTGGGTGACATACATTAAGAGTTAACTTTAGTGTTTTTCAAGAAAAAATGTTTTATGATATTGACGAGTAGACACTGTTGGATACCGGCTCAATGGTCTAGAGGTTAAGCGCTCGTGCGCGAGACCGATAGGTCCTGGGTCTGAATCTCGAGAGGCAGGATCATAGGTGCACACTTTTTAGGAGTCCCACGATAGGAGGAAATGGCCATGGTGTTCTAGCTTCAACTGATTCATGATCTTAACTATAATGTCTACAAAAATCCTTTCTGAGATAACAATGTTTAGAAAAAAATGACAACTATCTGAGTCAATAGAAATTAAAGTGATCATGAAGGAATTTGATTGTAATTTAGTGTGCTAAGATATTTACTTCTAATATTACAATAAGACATGTATATCTCTTAGTCTCGATCATTTTTTTACCCCGTTAGTATTATACACTCATGAAGAATTTCAAATGAAGACTGAAAAGATGTTTATCTAAATCCTTGTTATTGTAAATTAAAACAAAATTACAATTTATTAGGTATTTAGGTTCTTAATTACCTTAAAGTAATCACTAAACAGATTATACTGAATGACTGATTCTTTTCTATACAATCACCTGGATCATTTGGAATGAGAACATTACAAAAAGTAACTTAATACAATTAAAACAAATAAATGGAATATTGTTAGTAACATAAACGTTTAAGTATTATTCAAACTAATAATATCGAGTAGATTATTCACCTAGATTATTAGTTTTCTTTTTTTATAGAACTTATGTGATTCACTATTTTTATGCTACTAGATTTATTTCTTTAGCTAATAGTTATAATCATGAATATGCACTGCTGAGGAGTCCCACTATAGAACGAAACGGCCGTCCACTGCTTCTAGATTTTCACTGGTGGTCTAACATCAATCGCTTCATGATCACAACAGTCCCGGAGTGAACATCAACTCTGAGTTGCAGGCACATCCAGCTGATGAGTCTCGAGTGAGACGAAACGCTCATCCTGGATTCCACTGCTAGCCACCATCGATCTATGCTTATGTCATTTGTTATTGATAGAAATCTCTTGTTCAAAACAAAGTAACTGAATTCAAGAAGAAAGTAATCGTCTGACAAATTAATTCAGCCAAACACTAATACTAACTTAAAAACTAAGAAAACATAGTATTTGTTCAACTTACTGCATCTCATATCTGTGCATCAGGACATGAGCGAACAAATGAAAATCAAACAAAAGAAGAATTAACATCATTATAGATGATTATATGATTACATAAAATTCAACTTTTCTAAAATCATAATGTAATTTGTATCAATTTTAATATGTAATCAAACACAAAAGTATGAAGTAATATACTTTTGTTGGTTTAATGTAAGCAAACATTTTAATCATTCAGCCAGTTGTACCACATCTATTTTAAAAGATACAGACATTTCATCATATTAGCCAATACTATATACGTATCAAGTTTGTTTTATATGACAAGCAGTTGGCTTTGAAGTAACCAGTACATACATCTGTTTGTCTATGTTTCAAGTGAAATATAAATTTCCCATTTTATTTTTAATGATAAGGTAAAACGATCTACATGAAAGTAATCACATATAACTTCTGTCTCTTTCACATTAGTCATGGTGATTAAGAATAAATGAAATGTGTCTTACCCAAAAGTATGCTTTTGTATAACGTAATAAATAAATTCAACAGTTTGAATCTACGGGATTAATAAGTTAAAGGATAAATCAATGAACAAGTCAAACAATTCTTCAATTAACATTAATTTCGGAACTTCAATGCGGGTTGAAATTATCAATATTATTCAGTATGATTAAGATGACGAGACATGTGTTAAATAGTTAAAAAAACTTCATTGTAACCATGTTGAAGTTTCATGTAGAAAAGAAATCTTTTAGTGAGAGACTTGATGTCAATTTGGTCATTACGTAATTTGATATTTATGTATTTTATAGATTTAGATCCATCTTTCCTCAAAAAGCTTGTAACTTAAGGCTATGTCGAGGCAATCTGCACCTTGATCAGACTTTGATTACTATTAGTCGGTCAGTTGGAGATTTAATGTTCATTCCAAAATCCTTAGAA